ATGAGCTACATGTCCTCATTACTTCAGTATGTGTGCAATGTCTTTCTGTGTCATTCTTAGAATCAACTTTGGATGATTTCAGAATATGCTGGTTTTTGTCAGCAAGTCATTATGAATGTCTATGAATGTGTTGTTCAATATCATAACTGTACACCCTACCCACTTTGTTTATTTATTATAACAATAATATACTTGTATAATCAATTTAAAAGAGATTTAATTTTGATAAGTACACTTATTGTAATTTGAACTTCATTCATGGTACATCAGTTGAAAATTCCTGCAATAGATGGACTGAGAAGCACTCAAGTTAGAGGGTTACAGCTAAAATTATGAAAGGTGTGTGTTATGAACAAAAGAAGAGGTTGTAAGATGTAAAGATTATGAGGAAAAAGCTGATAAATTAGGATTGATTCTTTAAGAGGTTAAAATTGGTTGATTCAGAGAAGCAACAATATGCAAGTCTATTCCAGAAAGTAGCAGTCCTGGATGGAATTTTCATTACACTTAGAATATGGAGGAAATGAGGTTAATTTGATTCTGTGGAAGTAGCTTGGTGTGATTCAGTAGTAAAAATCTGAACTAGTGATATGAAAGTGTTATGGTGACCTATCTACATAAGAATGAACTGTTCCTCTTTCATAAATACTAACCTGTGAGACTTCCTGAGCAGAGACAGTCGTAACACAGTTTGGACAGACACTTCTATCTGGTGATTAATAACACTCTTATTTTGCATATATGTTCTGTTATTTTCATACACTTGATCAACCTACCTTCTTCTTTCCGTGTCTTTCTTTCTGGCCCCTAACAGGCCACAATAGAAAGAATAGAATTCTTGAAAAAAATCACATAGATGCTGAGGATCCTATGGGCTAAATGAGCAATGATGAAATTTGATAGAAAATGGAATTATAAGGGCCACTTATACTCAACATCAGAAAAAGATAGTTGAATTTTATAGGGCACATAATGAGGAAAGAGGGCTTAGAAAATTAGAAACTCACACGATATATTGAAAGCAAGATGGATAGAGGGAAACAATGCATAACCTACTTAATGACATTCTCTATTGGCAGAACAGAGTTTAGGAGAGATAGCACAAAAACTAAATTTATTAAGAGCTGCAAAGCTTGTAGAGAGTGATGATCATCAATGCTCTAAAACTTGCTTTTTCTCCTCTTTTGTTTTATACATTTTGTAATATATATATATATATATATATATATATATATATATATATATATATATATATATATATGTTTGAATAAGGTTCAAAAGGTTTCTTTAAGGTTCCATGTAATAAGTTATTTTACCACAACCCCTTTAGCAGGGCTCTGGATCATCAGACTTTACTTCCAAGAGGTTGAAATTAAAAATGAAAAGAAATTCACACGTTTTTGACGGACCGCATCAAACATATGTAAAATTAATGAAGTGAGGAAGTGAGGTGGGAGAGAAGATAAGATATGAGTGGGTTAGATGTACCATTTCAATTCCTTATTCTTAACCCCACTGTGTGTCGGCTAATGCGTATTGTCTCTAGATATAGATGGGCAAGGGGTGAGGGAGAAGACCGACATTAAAGGAAGAAGCTACAACAACCCTAATAAATTACATTTCACGAGGGCAGGTTTCATTCAAAATCATAGATGCTGTTAATTCGCATTACTTTAAAGAGCATATTCGGGAGGTTATATCAAACCTCTTAAGCGGTCTGTCAAAAACGTGTGAATTTCTTTTCTTTTTTCATTTCAACCTTTGGAAGTAAAGTCTGATGATCCAGAGCCCTGTTAAAGGGGTTGTGGTGAAATAACTTATTACATGGAACCTTAAAGTGGTCTGTTTTTATTCAAACATATCAGCTCTGAATTTTACATTGAGCTCTCCGGATCTCATCCTCCTTGGGTCTACCCATGCAGATTACCTAGTTTTTCATAAACTATATATATATATATATATATATATATATATATATATATATAAAGTTGTAGCCTAAAGTTTTGCATAAACTATATATATATATATAATGTTTGTATTTTACTGATTTTGCAAAAACATGAGTATAAAGCTATTTTCACGACCAAAACAAATAAGCACTGACTGTGTAACTTTAAGACATCCATTTTTTTAAAGTCTAAATAAACTTTGGCTGTATTGCGGTGTGACGGAGAGTGGAAAGAAAATCAGAGAACCATGGTTTAATTCTGGTTGAGTTTGTTTCATTTTTTTAGGTATAAATACCTTTAGGAATGAAATAAATCCATCTCTTCTCCCCATACCCAGCTATGTGATAAATATAAGGACAGACTAATCCCTATAGCCTAGGTTTACATTCAGTCTAGAAAGAAAATTCTAAATTCAAACCAAACTGGAGATGGTCTGATACCATCAGGCCAGCTTGCCCAAGACACACTTGTTCTACTGTGGCAGGAGTATATGTAGTGCTGCTATGGTCCTCAAGGATTACACATCTTGTGAATAAACTCGAGTTTGTATT